GTGGAACTTGGTCAAGAAAGCAAAGTGTGCAAGCTAGTTAAATCCCTATATGGCTTAAAATAGGCCCCTAAATAATGGCATGAGAAATTTGATTCCTACATGATTAAGAATGACTATAAAACTAATGCATGTGATAAATGCATCTATTATAAATTTGAAGAAAATGCACATGCCATTATTAGCCTTTATGTGGATGATTTACTTATATTTGGATCTAATTTGCATATCATCGTGGAAACTAAAAATATGCTTAGTAACCATTTTGATATGAAAGATCTTGGTGAGACTAATTATATTTTGGGAATGAAAATTACCAAAACCTGTGATGGTATATTTGTTGATTAGTCGCATTATGTTAAGAAATTTTTTTATAAGTGCAAGCATGTTCTTACTTCTTTTGATCCTTATGTGCGTTTATTTCCTATTGAAAATGATGAGGATGTAATTAATCAAAAGGAATATGCTAGTATGATTGGTAGCTTGCGTTATGCGACTGACTGTACTAAACCTGACATTGCCTATGTAGTTGGAGTACTTAGCAGGTTTATTAGCAAGCCTGACAGTGATCGCTGGCTAGCCTTGAGCAGATTATGAAATATTTATCTGGTACCATAAAATATGGCTTGTTTTATAATAAGTGTCCTGCAGTACTTGAAGGCTATAGTGATGCCGATTGGAATACCTTGTTAGGTGATTCATTATCAACCATTGGTTACTTATTTACCTTGGGAGATGGTGCTATAAGTTGAAAATCGAAAAAACAAGCCATCATTGCTAATTCAACAATGGAAGCTGAGCTTATTGCTTTAGCTACAACTAGTGAAGAAGCAAAATTGGTTGAGAGATTTGTTAAGTGAAATCTCTTGTTGGAAAAAAATCGATTCCATCTATATTGATTCATTGTGATTGCACCGCAGTAATTGGTCGAGTTAATAACTATTATTATAACGGCAAATCCTGACCTATTAGAAGAAAACATAGTACTGTGAGATCTTATATGAATAATGGCATCATAAATGTGGATTATATTAAATCTAGTGATAATCTTACAGATCTATTAACTAAGGCCTTAGTAAGAGATGGAGTCTGGAATACATCGAAGGGGATGTGGTTGAAACCCATTGAATACAACATGAGCCATGTATGAGGATAATCAACCTAGGGACCAAAGATCTTGTAACTGGGTTCAATGAGAAGAACAATCATATAATGGCCGTGAGAAATGCACTAAATTAATTTTTACCCATCCCTATAATGTAAGTGCATTTATCCTGTAACGTTGTAGAGGTTGAGTTATTAAAAAAATTCAAATGAATTTCTGTAGTTTTTATTGAGTGGGGTGTCATAGTTACAGGAGCACCCTTAACAGAATTCACCTATGTGAGTGTGGTAGTGGGGTCGCTATCTATGAGATTTGGGCTAATTCACCTATGTAATGTGTTGGCTATTAAAGCTTATATGAACACTTAGAATATTATGTGTGTACAATAATTATTTATTTCCTTTAAGCAGTCATAGTTCAATGTTGAGTATACTATGGGCTCTGGAGTAGATATTATTGTTTGACTAATGGAGGTTCAATGTAGAGTACACCTACCATGATGTATAATATCCTTATTTGCCTAATAATCTCAGATTTTGTTACCTATAATATTAAAATAGGTGGGGGAATGTTACTAGATATTTTAATATTATAACGTATTATAAATTATATTGTTTGCTTGGGCTCCAAACAACTTATTCTCCAAACTACCTCTCTTTGCCTCTAAGAAAAGTTTCTTTCCTTCCAAGTTCTCTTTTCTTTTTCTCCAAGTAAACCTTTTTTCTTGCCCACCAAGTAACTCTTATTTTATTATTTTTTCTTTTCTTTTGCCCCAAGTTTCCTCTCCTATAAATTGAGCTAACCTCTTATCTTGAAAAAAGAAGAAGAAGAAGTTTTTGTTATGTTTTTATTTTTGTGTGAGATTATCAGGCAAAGAAATAAAAGGTATATGTGATGAAAGTTTGGGTTCAACCAATTGTGTAGTATTGATGAACCATATAACTTAGTTGGGTTGTTGTATCTTGGGGGGACAAGTTAAGGTTTTTTCTACTGTACCGGTGTGAGGCTTTGCCTAATCGCAAAGGGCTTTAATCTCCTTAAAAAGAGTGAATTTCTCGCGCCTCATCCTTTTCAATAGTTATTGTAATTTTTATTATTTGTATTTTTTGATATTTTATTTGTAATTATCACCAACATGTTCATATGTTTTATCACAATTTCTAACTTATTTTTTAGAAAAATGATATGTGGGTACAATTTGATTGAATCCTCTTTTGTAAATACATGCTTTCCAATCTTTTTGCAGGTCAAATTTGGTAAGCTATTGTTTAAGGTATTGAACGAGGTAAAACTCATGAAAGGTAGAATAGGGCTGCCAGGCAGCTATCCTTTTCTATTAAGAATTGAGCTAACCAAAATGAATTAGTGGTTTGTTTGGTTTGAGTTTTGAAATGCTGTGTATAGTGAATGATTTAGGGGTTTGAAGATGTAGTGTGTGAATAAATCTATTTGGGTGGTGTGTCTATATATTATGAGAGAGGGTTATAGTTGAAACATTTGGTCTATGGAACAAGAATAATAATATATAATCAAATTCATAAAGTGTGTGAATTGAGATGTGATGTGTACAGAGATTAAAGGGTGTGTGGAAATAGAAGTTCCCCTACTAAATAGGTTATAGATATAAATGGGGGAATTGATCAATAAATCTCATATCTTAGACTTGTGATCCGGGCTGCAAATGAACTGAGCCAAGCTCGAGCTTGAATATTAGGCTCGTTTAGTAAATGAGCCAAGTTCGATTTCAAATAAATTCTATTAATATATAAAAATTTATAAGGTAAAACTCATGAAAGGTAGAATAGGGCTGCCAGGCAGCTATCCTTTTCTATTAAGAATTGAGCTAACCAAAATGAATAAGTGGTTTGTTTGGTTTGAGTTTTGAAATGCTGTGTATAGTGAATGATTTAGGGGTTTGAAGATGTAGTGTGCGGATAAATCTATTTGGGTGGTGTGTCTATATATTATGAGAGAGGGTTATAGTTGAAACATTTGGTGTATGGAATAAGAATAATAATATATAATCAAATTTATAAAGTGTGTGAATTGAGATGTGATGTGAACAGAGATTAAAGGGTGTGTGGAAATAGAAGTTTCCCTACTAAATAGGTTATAGATATAAATAGGGGAATTGATCAATAAATTTCATATCTTAGACTTGTGATCCGGGCTTCAAATGAACTGAGCCAAGCTCGAGCTTGAATATTAGGCTCGTTTAGTAAATGAGCCAAGTTCGATTTCGAATAAATTCTATTAATATATAAAAATTTATACAAAAAATATCATAAAATATTGTGGTACTGATATTGTTGTAAATATAAATCATATTTATGGACGTTTTGTTTTAAAGTAAATGGTCACAATTAAGCTATATTATTGTGTTTGAAAATTTTATATAAATTTTATATTTATATACCATCACTCAATAAAAATATGTTCAAGTAGAATTTAATGATGGAAAGTTATAGAATGTAGTTATGAAAAAGAAATGGTAGGAAAAGGACAAAATAGTCATTGAAAAATGTTAGGGCATCACATCAATAATCCAGAGACAATTTGTAATAAGATTACAAATCTCAAGGAGGGAAATATAATTTTTCAAACGTGAAAGGATCTGTAAATAGAAACCTCATGGGGGTGTCAGTGTAATTTAACCTTGGAGTTTTTTCTTTTTCGTATTTTTTAATTTTTAATGAATATTTTTAAAATTTTAAGTAATTTTTTTTAGATACACTTTATTTAGATGTAGTTAAATAATAAAATATTTGTGAAAACATATATTAAAAATTTAATAAATATACAAAATATAAAAAATATATTAAATTTTCGTATTTTTTTAATATTTTCAGTATTTAATGAAATTTTAAAAGATTTTTTTTTACAAATATTATATTTTTTAAATATATGTATATTAGATTTGTCTAAAAATTTAAAAAATATGCTTAAAATATTAAAAAATTCATTGAAAACATTAAAATACGAAAAATAAAGAAATATAATTTTTAAAAAATTATTTTCTGAAAACTATAACCAAACAACCTGATTTTTTTCCTCTTGTTTATTTGTGTTAGGAAACTTTAGTTTTTTATTTTCAATTGTGACACATTTGACTATAAATTTTAAATTTTGTTCCAAAGAATGACCACTAAAGATATCATTGCCTAATTTTAAGGACAAGATCATCAATTTAATAAAATATAAACGAATTTGACCAAAATAAATGTCAAAAAAATATTTTTGAATTTTTAAAAAATTATTTCTACCAACCAAAGATAAAATTATGTAAAATTGATAAATCGTTTACAAATTTATTTATTTATCAAATTAATTTTTATTATATGTTTGGATGATAATCATGTAATGGGTGGTTATGAAGCTTTTAATGTGTAATCAATATATTAATATAAAAAATATTTTTAATTTTGAATTTTTTGATTTAATGAATTGATTTAATAATGATATCAAAATTGTCGCCATATTTGATTTTTAGAAAAATATAAACTAAATTAATGAAAATAAAAACAACCACTCATTAAAATTTAAAACTTTTTTTAATATTTTAAAAAAATAAATCCAAAAATATTGTTCCAAATACTCCAAACCTATCCTCCAATTGAAAAACATTTTTTAATATTTTCAAGGGAAGGACAATAAGGTAATTTCTTAAGGAAAAAGTAACACCATTTAATGATTTTTGACAGCAGGGAAATCTTGATATTGTCAAGTAAAACAGGGAAGATTACTGTAATTATTCAAACTACAGGGAAAGTCCCTGTATTTGTCAGAAACCTCAAGGAGGTAAATGTAATTTACCCTTAAAAAAATTAAGCGAAAGAAAAATGAAAAAACGAAAAAGTTGTGAAAAATCAATCCTGAAACCAAATTCTGGTTCTTCATCATTCCTCATTCCAGTCTTTGTTCTAACCCTAATATCTCTCTCTCTCTCTCTCTCTCTCTCTCCATGTGAACCCTTCGACTTACAATCTCTGACTCTTTCTCAACACTCAAATTCGTTGATTTGATCGATCAATCTCTCTCGAATTCCAATATCAGTAGGGTTAATTTTGGGGTTTCAGAGCAATCCAACAATGGCTTCTGAAGAGATAGGCTTAGTACCTCCCCAGCGGCTCGACAACGGCTTGAACCCACAGCTAGTCTTCCAAGACGAAGCCCTCCGCTTCAGCTGCGGCGCGCCGCCCCGCCGAGCCGGAGATCCTGGGCCGAAGACACGTGAGCTCACCGGCTTCATCGACGACCGGTATTTTCAACCCCAAGCTCCGGTGGAGTTCCGGCGAAGTAATTACGTTGAGGATCATCATCATCAAGATAGCCGGAATTGGAACGGTCGGACATTGAATTCGCCGAGCGGCGACGAATCGGAAGGTGATGATGAGGAAGATGATGATGATGATGATGATGAAGAAGAGGAAGAAGAGGATGATGAAGGGGATGGTGAGGTTGCGAGACTTGTTGGTGGTGTAGAAGGTTGCAATAATAAGAATAACAATAGCAACAATACTAGTGAGCATAGTAATTCAGATGCAATTGGTAATGGAAAATCCAAACACCTTTCTTCTTTTGGTAAGAATTTTTTTTTTTAAATTTGGAACTTTTAGGTTCATGAGTGTAGAATTTTGAGGTCTAGGTTTGCTTATTTGATGTTGGTTTGTGGCAGTTGGGTCGAATAGGGGAATTTTGATGAAGGAAGGTAATGTTCTGCAATCTGGAAATGATAATAGTAATACGAGAGTGAATCAGAACGACAATCATGGGCAAAGGCGAGTCAATCAGTATCAGAATATGGTGACAGTTGCGGACCCAGATGGAGATTTGTACTATTCACAGTATCTGCAGGGAGGAGAGGGGTCGGGCAGTGGGCAGAAGGATGTAGAGGTTGAAAATGGGTGTGTGTTTAGTGGAAGAAAGGAGGGTTTGTATTCAAGCGAATCGGGGGAGTCTCTAAGGATGATTCTTTCGGATCCTCTGACGTAAGTTTGGCACCCTAATTTATTTATTTGGCCTGTGGTTATTAGACATTTGAATTTTGAGCTTTAACTGAGATGGGTTTGTGAAAATGAACCTGTTGCAGCAAAAATCATAAATGTTCACTGAGTTTATGTTTTACTATTTTGTTTGTTGTTATGGGAAGTGGAGAGATAGTGACATATGGATTGTTGCTCTTATCTACATTTTACTGTAAATTGAGATGCATTATAGAAAATATTAAGGTAGTGTTTGGTTCATTGGAATGAATTGGAATGGAATGATCATTCCATCAAAATATTCATTCTCATGTTTGGTTAGACGAAACAAATAATGACAGATGCATTACAAATGAAATCATCTTTCACAATTTTAAGGTAATGGTCATCCATAGGAAAGGCTAAGCAATCATCATTCCATTCAATTCCCTCTCATTCCAATGAACAAAAGTGTCTTGCTAAATGCTTTTGTAAAATATGTGGAGGGGGTTGGAGTGAAGGCATGATCATTACCAACTTTCCCAAACCCATTGTATTACTCTTTCAGAGTTCTTGTTACTATTTCTGCTAGGTGATCTTTGCATTTGCAAAAACATCACAACGGCGTACGGATACAGTGATTGAAAAAATGGCATATGGATACAATATGCACTTTCAAATCTATGCAGTGATGCAACCTGTGGGCTTGTGATTAAATGAACATATGGCCTTAGAATGAAATGGAAAATAAGGATTATGTGGCAGGCTGCAAATAGCTTGGATAATGGTGGCGAAGTTGAGTTGAGTTCGATGTATATTTATGCATGCATGTAAATGGCTTGTTTATTTATTTCTGTATCTGGTTCTAATCTTCCAGATTTGCCAACATTGTTCTAAATTTCCTAGTTGATTAATTTACTGTGTCGTTTTGGCAACTAATATATTTGTTGTGGAATAATTCTGGGTTTACAGAGGAGCACTTATGGATGACGCTGTGATATTGCCATGTGGGCATTCCTTTGGAGGTGGTGGCATTCAACATGTTATTAGAATGGTGAGCCTTTGGCAAACACATTTATCATCTAGTAGATTGATCTTTTCAGTTATCAGTTTCTGGAAAGAGAATAATTTTCATGTTGCTGGTGAGTTTTGTGGGAAACCATCTTGTGGTGATTTGAGAATCTCTGCAGATGGGTAATGCAGTCTTGAATATTTCTCAGTTTCAGATGCATTTTAACTCTTAAGTTTATTTTTCCAAAATATTTAACCTGAACTCTACATAGGAGTATGTGCATCAAACTGCCAATTTTCTGGTGCACTGCTAATTTACTATTTTGTATGAGATAATGCATTTGGTGTGACCTTGGTTGTGGCAACTGCTAAGATATATATTATGGAGGCATTTACCTATAATGCTACAAACACTAATAGAAAGAATTTGTGATTTTTCATGCTAATCGAATTAAATATGGAGTCATACCATGTGTTTTTATGCTTGGAAGCATAGTTGTTAACTTGGGATTCAAATCCTGAATCAAAATGGTCTTGTACTGAATTGCAAATTGAATCAAATTATGAATCGTAAAGATTTAGCCACTTCTTCTAAATTACATAGAAAATTATGTCTACACGTAGATATTAAATATATATCTTATAAATTGAAATATTTAAACTAATAAGGGAAATGTTGTTTTGAATGATAATCACGTAGTCTAATAGCTAAGAAGTTAACATTTGTTCCCATATAAGCTCACCACCTTACCTTTTTCTTTTTAGACATTTCTTATCAATTATTCTTAATAAAGAAAAAGAAAAACTCTCAATTTCCAAGCAACAATAATTGAAAAACAATGTTTTTAACTTTTTACAACTAAATTAATAAAAACACTCACCTCAAGGGGGTGCTAAGAAACCCAAATCTCCAAACTTTTTGACAAATCTCACTTTATACCTTCAAAAAATTCCTTTTATAAATGCAAGACTTGGATAAAATTGAATACCTAGAATAATGTAGAGAGAGAGAGAAGGTTATTTATCAAAAAAAAAAATGTAGAGAGAGAGAAGGTTCATTTGTTTTTTAGGGTTTAAGCCTTTGAGAGTAAATAGGGGGGAGGGAGAAAGTCAAAGACTGACCTATAGTAATCGTAAAGACCTTAAAAAGGTTCTGTGAACCTTTTTCCAACAATAAAAAACCAAAAAAGAAGGCCAAAAGTCAATTTCAGCAAATCGAAAGTGAATCGATCAATTCACAATTCACCCTCAATTCACAGCTATTTGTGATTCATGCAACTTGTTCGTATTGATTTTGAACTCAATCGAATCGAATGATTCATATCGCAAATCGTTGAATGATTCAAATCGCAAATTGTTCGATTCTAATAATATAGATTGGAAGTAATGATCATTGTTTCAGTGGAGAACAATTGGAGCTATACCATGTGTTTTGTGCTTGAAGTTATGATCATTGTTTCAGTAGATAACAAGTGCTAATGAATACTTTTAACAATTTTACATCATGAACTCAACTCAACTCTACATGCCTTTGTTCCAATTAAGTGGGGTTCATTAAGTAGAGTAGTTTCTTCCAATTGGCTTTATTAAAAAGCCAATCCTTCCATTAAGTCTAATGCAATCATGTCATTTCTTACTATCACAAATCATTTCCTTTGTGGCCCTGCTCTATTTCTTTTTGCATTCTCATTCTGAATTCAATACAATCTTTATGGGCACATTAATTGGTTTATGTTGATTACGGACAAAATGTCTCAAACGACAACAATTATATACCCTAGTTGGAAGAATTGTTTTTGAACTTTTTATGATGCCATGATTCACAACACAGAGCATTAATTGGAGGTACATTAAGACTGAGAAATGAAATATCTCCTGCTTGAGAAAGAACAATCATGTTGCTATTGTTGATTCCCTGGCAAGACATGAGGATGCATTTGCATTTACAAAGGAGTCAAAGATAAACAAATGCACATTACATATTAATTTTGAGTTTTATGAATTAGTTCTTGGTACTTCCTTTTTTGCTTGCTGTTGGAATATTTGCTGATTTGGACGAAACCCTTGATTTTTAGAAGTGACATGGCATCTGATCTGGTTTGCCAATTTGGGAATTGTTGATGTTTCGAGTTTGATCTTATGCAATGTGTTTGCAGAAAGCTTGCTACACCTGTTCTCAACCAATATCAGAAGGCTCAATTTCACCAAATCTTTGTAAGTAATTAACAATTATCAAAGAACATTTATAAGCACTTGCTACATAATTGAATGCTTATATTCATATTCTCGTTGGTCATAAGTTAGTTTGTAATGATTGTACCACACAATGTGGCTAGGATGCTCTTATTTTAGCTAAGAAGCATTGACACTTCTATGGAGTAAGCGTGTCGGGTCGGGTCGGAAACCCATGTTGGATACCAACACTATTCGGACAATTCTAAAAGCATGTCCAATACTTCTTCAATGTGTCTTAAATTCAAATTCATAATATCGGACAACACTTCTTGAACTCTCCGAACACATCCTATGTGATGAATCCCTTCTTAATAACAATGTTTTACATTCTTCATAATACTAGTTTATGCACTTTAAATATGTTTTGAAACATTCTAAAGATGAATACATCACGTGTATTATAATGTTGTATAATGGTTTTACATATTTTATAATGTAATGGTTATGTGAATAATATATTGTTATTTAAGTTATGAAATATATAGCAATTTACTGTAATTAGTGTTATATTGCATATTTTTCATTATACTTAAATAAATTACATTTATATGATGTTTAATAAATTTGTAGAATAATAATAATAATAATAATTTACATGTACCAAACATGTTGTGTTTTGCATTTTTTAAAAATTGACATGTCATCATGTTCATCTTGTGTAGCGTGTCTTTGTCTGTGCTACTTAATATTTTAGCATTTTTTAGGGGAAATTTCACTTCAGGGGTAGCTTTGAAAAATAATTACAAATAAGTGGAAAACTTTATAAATATTGATAATTAAAAATGTAAATTTTTTCATGAATCTGTAATAAATTTTTGAAACCACCACTGATTGGTAATTTCCCCTTTTTTTTATTTACTTTTTTGGTGTAGCAGATTCCAGTTTTTGCGTCCATGCATCGTTTCAGCGACTTCCACCCATTTTATGGTTCACGCTTGATCTATTGCTCATAGTTTTAGATATAGGCATGAAAATGTTCTGTAGATGACTTGGGATACTGGCTCTGTTTTTAATGGTTTCTTAAGTTCATTGTCATATTTTAAGTGGTATTGCAATATGAATCCCATTCCTGTTTATAAGATGTTAATATACTTCAAAAGAAGAAGAAAGGAACTTGTAGTACAAGGGCTGCACAAAAGAGTTCATGTCCAGGTGGGAAAAATTAGGTTCTTGTGCAGAAGTTATAGCTTGGAAGCAGGATGTTCAAATCATGAAAATAGGTCAAGAACAACCACATGTAACTGTTGTGTTCCTCTAAAACAAAAATTAAATACGTAGTAAAAAGAAATTTGCGAATATTTGCTCTGTGAAGAGTGCGTAATATTGTTGAAGTTAGAAAGGATTTGGAGGAAGAAAAGGGCTTATTCCTCTACCCTTTTTTTTTTTGGGTGCATTTTGTTGTACCTTTAGCCCTCCGAGCTACTGTCCAGGCATTCCGTCGGGAAGAAGAGTTACAGGTTTACCGCTCATCCAAAAGAAGAAGAGAGAGATTTGAACAGGTTCGTCTATTTGTAACCCAAAAACTATATCATTCAATCTTTTTCTTTTTGATAAAAAAATTCTAATTACTGGGAATCCCATTACTAGTAATAAGATTTTTTGTACTTATCCACTCCAAAAAAAAAGGTAAAGTTTGTGCTTTTGAATATGCTTTGGCTGGTCTAACCTTGTATTGAACATCCCATTACCCAATGTTCTGCGTTTGAATATTCTTTGATTGCTAATCATCAATGGTTTGTCAGTCCATCCAACGTTATTTGTGCTTGACACTGTTGATTTTATTTATTTTTTATTTGTTGTGATTTATGTAGGACAAGGGTAGTTATGGTGATTCAACTCCCCTGGATCATCCAAGGGGTAGAGGCGTGCAGTTCCCATTTGTTGTGACAGACCGGGTTATTATAAAGGTATTCTTTGAAGACCTTAGTTTTGTATCCTAACTGCTAAATACATAATTACCATTAAGTTATAGTTACTAACTGGAGAAAATGAATCAGGGTAACAAGAGGACACCACAGCGTTTTGTTGGTCGTGAGGCTATAGTAACAACACAATGCTTAAATGGATGGTTAGTCACCTTTTTTTACTGTCGCCTTATTATGATTATGAAGCTAATGAAACCTTGATAATTCAGATTCATCTTAAAATAGTTGTCATACTAATAACATTGATACATATGATAGTTATCTCCCTTTTAGTATTGAAGCTTCATTACACCCCTTTTTTTTTTCCTTCCAATTATAGAGTACTTTTTCCATATTTTGTGTGTGTGTGTGTAGAAAATGTATTCCTATGTTTGGTGGTGGTGTTAGTGTGGTAGTGGTAGTGGGGTGGTGGTGTTAGTGAGGTGGTGGTAGTGGTAGTGGGGTGGTGGTAATGAGATGGTCGTAGTGGTAGGGTGGTAATGAGATGGTGACAGTGGTAGGGTGCAGTCATGGGGTGGTGGTGGTGGTGGTGTGTTGACATTGGTAAGACTCTAGTCTGGAAAGCATTTTTCACCTTTCAAACATGGAAAATATTTTTCGCTCAAATAAGCTTTGTTTTTCATTGACTTGGAAATGTTTTTTGTTGATTTTCATTTCCATCGTCCAAACGCCAAAAAAATACAAACATGTTTTTCGCCAAAACAAATGGAGCGTTGAATGTGCTAGTTTGAATGAATAAAAAATAGCACGAAGAGGGGGGATATGTTTGCAATTTTATCTGCATTTTGTGTCTCTTGTTTTTCTCATTGTTTAACTCTAGAAATGACCAAATGAATTGGCTCCTTGATACTGTAACCTGAAAATTATTCAGGTATGTGGTGAAGACATTGGACAATGCAGAGAGCGTGAAATTGCAGTATCGCTCACTTGCCAAGGTTTCAGATAATCTATCTTCAAAGCCAGCAGCGCTTAGCAAGATTACACCAAACTGGCTCTAGAGTTGCAGCAAACAAGATGGGCCTAAGTTGGGCGGCTATATAATTTGTTGCAGTTTATGCGACATTGTACATATTTAATCTAACTTTATTGCTCATGAAGCTTTCTTCTTGTAATATTTTTGTTGTATTCTTTATATGCAGTTATCTTTTTTAGGCCTTGTAAATTGTAGAAGCCTTCTTGTATGAGATGTGATTTGAGATATAAATTATGTAATCAATTTTGCTTGAAATATCCGAGCAAGAGCTTTGTATTGATCTTTTGTTATTGCTTTGTTGCGGTGCATTTCAATGTGCATAATCTATTCAAATTTAAAACCAACTAGCTATAATTTCATGAGAGCAATAATATTTATGCTGCAATTTTTCGTAATTTCATTTGAATGTGGGTAATCCTATTCACTCCTGAGTCATTGTTGGGTTTTGAAATTTGAAGTTAGTCTAGACAATTGGTGGTCATTTTATTTATGAGAAATTACACTAACAGTCCATATAGTTTAAGGTTCGTATTTAGGGCTGAGCAAGGAATTCGTGAAATTCGTAATTCGATCTAGTCCAGTTCAATCCCGTAGGTTTGGATTGGTTTTTTGAATCCGTGGTTTGGTTCCGGATTGAAAAATTAAAAATCCGTAATTCACAGATTGGTTTCGGATTGGAACCGATCCGGACCGTAAATAAATAGTCTATATTTTTATTATACACCTTCTTACATAGTATCTTCTCTTATTTCATATAAAATTTAAATCCAAACCTAAACTTGCATAGTATCTTCTTTGATTACTTTTGTTTGCTAGTTTTAGTGTTAATTTGTAATGGTCTAAATACTTATAGTGGAACTAGTTTTCTTATGGTGGTTTAAATTTTAGAACAGTTTATCGTTATTATAAAATGACATGTTGCTATTGTGAAACTAATATGGTGCTATATTTATATTTTTATGAAATTAAAGTGTTATATATTTTTTTTTGTTATTTAATTATGTAAATCCGTGATCCTAAACCGATTCAATCTGTGTTTAAATAGATTGGTTCCACGATTTAAACGAATTGGATTGGTTCCAATTTTTCAGGATCCGTAGATAACAGATTGGTCCTGGTTTTACTCAAATCCGGTCCAATTCGGACCATGCTCACCCCTATTCGTATTACTTGGTTTTTAACTTTTTAATTGTGACACATTTGATCTTGAATTTTGAATCATGTTTCAAATTAGGACAATTGAATATATTATTATTCAATTTCAATGGCAAAATTATCAATTTGATAAAATATAAATTAATTTGACCAAAATTAATGTCAAAAAAATATTTTTGAATTTTTAAAAATAATTTCTACCCAAAGATAAAATTATGTAAAATTGATAAATCTTTTAGATATATATTTATTTATTTTACCAAATTAATTTTTATTATGTGTTTAGATGATAATCATGTAATGAGTGATTATTATGCTTTTAATGCGTAATCGATATATTTAATATATGAAATATTTTTAGTTTTGAATTTTTTGATTTAATGGATTAGTTTAATAATTATATCAAAGTCGTTGTCATATTTGACTTTTGAAAAAATATAAACTAATTTAATGAAAATAAAAATAACCACCCATTACATGATCATCCTCCGAACACACAATAAAAATTAATTTGGTAAAAAAATAAAAAATAATAAATGTCAATTTTACATAATTTTATCTTTAGTGGGTAGAAATAATTTTTAAAAATTTAAAAATATTTTTTTGACATTTATTTTTATCAAATTAATTTATATTTTATTAAATTGATGATTTTACCATTGAAATTGAACAACGATATCTTCAATTGTCCTTATTTAGAATAAGATTCAAAATTCAGAGTTAAATGTGTCACAATTGAAAAGTCATGGACCAAAGTAACACAAGATCCAAACTATAAGAAAAATTCTATTTTCACACACTTGATTATCTCAATACACACGCCTATTAATTTGTTTATTGATTTCATTTTCTCCATTTACACACTGAAAGTTACAATTATATCATTTACGCATAAGTATTGTACAGACACCATCACCTTCTTCATCAGCCGATCATCTCTTCTTCAATGGCCGTCTCTTACTTCACTTTTTCCCAGTCCCAAATCCAACCCAACCCACAAACACTCCTTATTCTTGCTCGAGCTCGACTAGCCGATCCTCAATGTCGTCGTCTCGAAGCAACAACTCTAGCAGCAGCAGCGCCAGAACGAGTACAAGCAAACCTTCTTCATCTTCTTTCGATTAGAAGAAGCTATTGAACACAGCTTCGAAAGTTGTTAGGGTCAAAATGCCTGTGTTGGCGAGAGAGATGGTTAGACAATATGGGTCTTCAAAACGGTGGCAGCTTATTGCGGCGGAGCCGAAATTGAGCCACTAGGTTTCGCGGCGGAGAAAGGCGGAAGTTGCGGTGGAAGAAAGGTTGAGAGGGAAGAAAGAAGGCGGTAGAAAGGCGGTGGGGGTGTGGCCGGAGGTTTTTCAGGTCAGTGGTGTCAACGTGTAAGGAATGTCACGCTATCAAACCATCATCGAGAGATTTGGAGGTGTAGTGATTGATCAGTGGAACTGTTTTTCTTGTTTTTTTTTAAATTGTTTTTGGATGTTTGTAAAGCACAATATGCTTTTGCTTTTGATTTTGATCCTATAGGAAGCGGTTGGCCGAGCATCAGACTGCAACGAATCGAATTGTTCGGAAGCTCGAATATAAGAGTGTTCTTAAAAGATGGGTACATAAATTTTTTTTTTTTAAAAGGCAGGTGTTGTTGAATGTTTATTATAGTCATTTTAATTTAAAATATAATTGTTATTAAATTAAAATTTCATTAAGAATATGTCCTGAGTTAATTAAGTGTGTAAAAATAAAATTTTTTAAATTATAGAGACCGTTAAGATAATTCGTCATTTTATTTAACAAAAAGTTACATGCAAAGTGAATTTTTTTATTTTTATGGATAACAACAATGCCATCTTTTTCTTTTTCTTTTTTCAAGAAACAATGCCATCTTATTATTGAGATAGAATCATGTAATGTTATTCAAAATTGCATACAATTACACTAATTTCTCCACAATCCGTTTGGATTCTGTGATTTGAAGAGAAAAAAAAAATGCATTTCTTACCGTTCATATCACCTGCTTGGATAGTAAAAAGGGATAAAATATGATGAAATGGAAAGAAATTAAAATAAACCAATCTCTTAAAATTCAAATTTTGCATCTCTAAAAGTGAAGTGATTATTCAGTATTCCCAGAATATGAATGCGTAGTGTTCCATAAAGTTTTGATTGATAGAAAAGTGTAAGGGCCCATGATTTATGTTAGGGATAGGAGAACAACATGAGGCTAAGGCCTCGTTTGACAAGTGACTTTTTTAGCCAAAAAGTTAAAAAAATCACTAAAAAAAACTAAAAAACTAACAACTTATACAAAAAAATCAAAGATTCTATTCTCTCTTTATTTTTTACACATCTTTTCGTAAAAAATCAAAAACCCATCCCAAACATACTAATTTTTTTTACATCATATTTTAGTCAAAAAGTCAAAAAATTATTAAAAAAAACTTGTTCCCAAATGAGGCTTAAGTAATTGGTGATTGGTTTGGAGTACGGCCACGTAGTATTTCAAAATTATTGAATAATTTTCCCTAAAAGTGAAGATTAGAAGAGGGAGAAAAAAAATCAATAGATTATTATTTTTTTACAATGCCAAAACAACTTTTTTAAATATAGAAAAAAAAAAAACCTTATTTGGATAATATAAAAATGAATCATTTTGTATTTTGTATTCCAAATAGAAGAACAAAAAAAGTACAGTTATTAGCACCCCATCAATTATTTTGAACTCTTATTTTTTGGCATTTTTTATTACAATAATAACTTTAAATGAAATTACTAAAAAGGATATCAATAATTTTGAGACATCACATCTCACAATTAAACCCATACACCCACTATATCATGAGATAGGGTTTATGAGAACATCCACCTCCATTACCACTAGGGGTGCAACTCGGGCGGATTCGGGCGAGTTGGGAGGTTGTCCAAGCCCAGCCCAAGTTGTACTGAGACCTGCCCAAGCCCGAATTGTAACCCGAGATTGTCTGCCCAAGCCTGACCCGAATTAAACCCGAGTTGCCCGAGTTGTAAATGAATTTTAGTTTTTGTTTTTTTTGTTTTTTTTTTTGTTTTTTTACAGCACATTATTAAATTATTAAAATTTGACTCTATTTACAATTTTTTTTTTATTCATAGAAAATCATTAATACCATCAAAATAAATAATTTATATAATGCAAGAGAGATGCCACTATAGTAGTCCTTACAATTTATGAGTGAAAATAAAAAAAAAAATTTAAAATTTTATGTTGTTTGTATATATGATATATATTCAATATAATTTAATAATATAAATTACTTTAATATCATGTAATAGCTAATAATTTATATATATATATATATTTATTTAATATTTATATATATATATATAATTCAGACTTTGAGTTGCTCGGGTTGTTTGACGTTTTTGCCTAAGCCCGCCCAAATTTAATTCGGGGCTTCTGAATTTTGCCCAAGCCCGTACCAAATTTGAAAATATTTTGTCCAAGCCCTAAAAAAATTCGGGCTGGGCTCGAGTTGCTCAGGTTGAGCTCGCCCAAGTTGCACCCCTAATTACCACACATCCATCTTTCCCAAATTCCATCTTCAAAACCTATCCACCATCAAAACTTTAAAAACTCTTTGGTGGCAATATTCCAACAATAACGGTGACAACCATTCAATTACATACACTTCTCCGACAATAACAATAAGTTAAAGTTTTTTTGACAATCATAACTCCATAATGAGAAGAGTAAAACAATATAAGCTCAGAGGAGGTTCAAAACTTTGATGGTATTCTTAACTCAGAGAAGATTGGCCTTATAAGGATAAATTTCTTGGAAAAACATGACAAAGATAATAAAAATTGTTCGTTATTTTTTCTCAGAAATACAGGCCCAAACATTGTTTATTTGTTCGAATACAGATAACCGAGCATTATTTTCTCATTGCAAGGTCATGAACAAGTATGTAAAGATGAAATAGTAATCATCTAATAGAAATATATAACTTTAAATTGACAATGTTAGAAAAGACTCTAAGGAGAAGAACAATACTTACAAATACAGTGAGATCATGGATGAATGACAAAAAATCGACTAGAGAAGCATGAAAGTAGATTGTATTGTCTATGTAAAAAATTCAAGTAGATTAACAAAACTCGTGATCAAACAAAGAAAAAACTTCTTAATCACCGTGACAAGTGGTCACAAGTGGTGAACAAATTTTCTCCCATCGGTTTTGAGAGGTTCCACCATCGTAAGTTTTGTTGAGAGTTTTAGAAGATAGGGTTTTTTGGAGTGTGGGAGTATGCGTTTGAATGGGTGTAATGTTTTCGCAAAGACAACTTTAATATTATTTAAGGAGAGGAAAGACATTTTAAGGATTTTAGAATTTATAAATAAGGGTCAAAGAAATAGGTGATCTACAATAATTGATGGAATGCTAATAACAACACTCAATAAATAAAAAAAACACAATCTTGCTCTTCTTTCCCTTCCTCTCCTAAGTTCCCAAATGAAGCGTTAACTTTTTTACATACAATGACCAAACTGACTTTATTTCATGATATAGACAGAAGAACCAAAATCATACACAAGAAACATCGAAGAACATGAATTCAATTATCAATAATTCATTGATTCCAACTATAAAATTTTAACAACAATCAATTCATCCCCAATTGGAGAAAGAATGACAATTAAACTCGAAAAATTAAATGATATCATCCTCTTCTAATGTTACACAATAACAAACTCAACAAATACACAAAGCCTTCGCTACGGACAGACCTAGAATGTTTATTTGCTAAATGCATATGGAGATTTAACAAGACTACAATCAAGATAGAAAATTCAGTATAATTAGAAATATGTTGATTATTTGGTGAGGTTAGAGTCAAACAATCACAAACAGGGTAGATTTTCCATCGACAACAGAAAGTTGCATGTTGAATAAATAGAAGCTGCAGCTGCCCCGATAGCTAATTCTCTTTCCGAGTTTTCCACTTCCTCTAATCTGTATAACAAAGAAAACAGTGAAATTTTAACACAATTCAAGGAACTATTAACTTCCATAGTAAATTGAGGATAGGATAGCAAAGTTGTATGTTGGATCAATATGATTCAGCCAGTGATAACTTAAGGCATACTTGTGAGGTATGAACAACCAACACTTTTCTAGAGGTTGCAAAATTTATGTGTAATGTATGTTGATGTCAAGCAAAAACCATGTTAATTATGAACCAAGATGTGTCAAATATAAAAAATAATATTGAAACTAGAAGGACAAGTTTGGCAATTGTGATTTGTTCGCCCAAAACAACTAAGTTCTTTAATGAATTGTTTGTTGTTTCTTGTAGTTGGTCTATGGAACAATTTTCACCAAAAGGATGAGTTGTCCAAGATCATTCAAAAAGAAAATTCACCTACAGTAGACGAATTTTTTTCAAAACATAAATAATTTCAAGCATCTAGAATTGGTGATATTAACAATATTGTCACTTCTTATTAAATAAATGGCTACAGGCTCACAGCATATAGTGTACATATAGATAAATATGACAATAATTCCCAATTTACAAATTTTAAAACACTACTTCAACTAAAATTGGTTGTCCTCTTACTTTGTGAGGAGAAATATCTAAGACAACAGAACCAAAGTACTAGTAAAGCAAATTACAACTAGGTTTTTACATGTTAGGGGAACTTATCAAAATTCCTTCAAATTCGGGTCTATAAAGCTGGGAATCAGAGATTTTATACATTCATGCAAACGTAATTATGCCAAAACTATAGGACTTGTATTTTCTCTAAAACTTCAGGGGAAGTTAGTAGAATTTACCCTAAATATTTTTTTGTTGTCTTTTCTTCTATAAAACTTGTAAAAAATATTAAAATATTAGAAAGGAAACATCCAAAATCAAGAGGATAATACTGCATTTCCTTTTGACCTTCCAGTATTTACATATAGACTTGGAAACATAGTTCAGAGATAGTAATTCGAGTTGTACTTGTTTTCCAACATAGTCAACGCATGATTAACTACAAGTTTACAGCATCAATGTAGACCTTTTAATCTGTCTGTGATGTCAATGGTAATTCAACACAGAAAGGCATCTAAAACATTTTGTACCTCTTAAGCATGTAAAGGCGGATTTACCTGGAGTCATTTTCTAGTGTTCCCAACCATTGTGAACCATGTGATGCATTAGACTGGAAAAGTTGAAGGCCCCTTTCACAGTGGAGCTGCATCTCTTTTACTTGGTTCAACCAACTTTCCTGAAATTGGTAATAAGAAGGGGAAAAAAAGAAGAAGAAGTTCGTAAACCTTTCCTTAGAAGAAATAAGAAATAACGTGTTGAACAGAAGAAATTGGTTTTACAGATTGGTGAACTGTATTTGGGTATTCCAAAAAGTTGGTGTTAACATCTTTTCTTCCTTTAAAAGAAAAGGCCTTGTGTTCTGAAGAAATATTATAAATTTCTCCAATTTACACAACACCTACACACATGAAGTCTTGATGAAATAATTGCTCGTTACATTAGCTTAAAGATCCTTACCTAAATATATACTCCATTTAAAGTTCCGAAATTGGAAAAAACTAAGTTGACCAACAAATGAAGAAGAAAGATGATTGTCAGTAATCCCGTCAGTTTGTTTAGACTTGCAATAACGCATTGTCCATCATACCAATTCCAATGACAAAGGCCTTAGAATTACTTGCCAATCCTCTTACCTAATTTCTTCATTGGAACCATTCAAATTTCAGGCTGTATTATTGTATGTTCCCACAGGTTTTCATCTTTAGAAGACACAGCATATCCTCTTCTTGAAACTGCAAAAAAAAAACAAAAAAAAAAAAGGGGGGACCATTCTTTAGAGACTCACCAGTTGTTTCTCTTCTTCAGAAAGGGCTTTATCCATTTGATCAAACAGAGCACTCCACCTAGTACGATGCAAATCGGCATTGGCATTGCCAGCACATCCAACAGCATAATTTTTCATAGCATACGGATTGTTCTCTTGATTACTTGAGAATTCTTGTGACATTAGTATAGGCAATTCTGTATGAATCACAGCTCGAACTCTCTTCTTACTGCGTAGCAATGCTGCAAGTACAGCAAACAGTACATATCCATGCAGATATTAGGGTTTATTCCTGTCAACAACCTACAATGATGTTTTGACCAAGTAGAGCATTACCTGCAAGCCGCCCTTTAATGTCTTGATAAAGAAGTTCCAACCATCGTGAAGCTACATTAGCAGCTGACAGTCAAAAGGAAGATTCATATCAGCTGAAGTTGTGGCATTCTTCTTATAATTGTAAAGAAGTTTGAACTATGAAGCACTAATGTCAAGATCTAGTTGTAATGAATTTTAATTTTTGTGACAGGTTATTATTTCTCAACTTTTCTTCACTCGAAGAAATATCTCATTTTACAACCAAGAATTTCTTTGAATACATCATTCTGACATATGAAGTTTCTATTCCGACTTTCTTATTATTTGCTAAAACTTCCTGCAGATGGCAGGTTGGTAAACATTGTAAAACAAGCAAGGAAACACAGCAGATCAGAGACCTAAAAACTAACCTTTAACAGAAAGAGAAGAAACACTGGTTAGGTTTGCTGATTCATTAGACAAATGACTAATATCCTCCGATGCCCAAGTTGTTGATGATGACAACTTCAGTGCCAATGTATCATCCTCACTGTCTTGATTTGGAGGTGACAGACATGTCATTTTACCATAATTCCCTTTCCCTAACCTGCTTGAGTCACCATCTCCTCCTGTTAGGTCTGAATTGAAGTTAACTGATCCACTCAACAACATTGGGCGACCTCTTTTCTGATGACTCCCCGATAAAGTAGTCAAGGACCCATCTTGATTAATTCCTAAGCCATTTGAATTTTCCAAGTCCTTTGTATCAGTAATTTCTTTAGTACCACTCTTCATTGGGATAGCTTGTTTGCATCCAGCATGACGATTTTCACGTTTTTCAGACCTTACTAGGGATTCAATTATTGAAAGAACCTGTTTACTGTTTCTCACGTGGTTTATAATCCCAGGGTTCAACTCATTTAGCAGTCCACTTGGAGCAGCAATTTTTGCAAACCGATCAACTTGTTCTCTCTTCGCCAGCTCCATTTTTTTCTTGGGCCCATCACTTTTGCTTTTCCTCCCACGTGGCTTTGGCACTGGTACGCCTCCATGAGAAGGTGAAAGGAAACCATTTTGCTTCATCGCTTTCCAAACTCTCATTGGATCTTTCTCCTCCAATGAACCAGTAGTGCTCCCACACTCTAAAGCATCACCAATTTTCAGACGTGCATGATTTTTGTGAGGATAAAACGGGTATTGATTTAGTGAACTAGAAACATCTTCTGAATTAAGATCCCAGCCAAAAGCCCTTGATGTTGCAAAATTATCTTGTTTGTCATAGGACAATTTGTTAGCACGTGCTGGCATATCACCACCAGTTGAATCATTAGCTAGACAAACTTTGGTATTGAGATCAAACGGTTTGGGGGTGGGGTCAAGAGTTGGGGTTAACGTGTCCCTTCCTGCTGTGTCTGCTCGAGCAACATCTGAATTTGTTGTTCCAGTATCCTCAGAGACATTGGACTTCTCTTTTTCAACAGAGAAAAAATGGTGATTGCCTGCTATGTTTTCTGTGGATATTGGATTAACTGGTATCAATGACTGTTACATAAATTGAGAAAACAACTGGTTTTCAAAAACACCTAACAAGTTCCAAGCGAAACCAAATAGAGAGAAATTAAAAAAGAAAGTCAAATAGTGGACAATTATGAAGTTCGAAAAATTGGGTAAATGTAGAACACCAAAAAATCAACAATTTATTTACAAAGTTGCAAAAACAATAGAACCCAATGACACTATATATGAATTCTAATCAAATGATCCAGTTTGCAAATTGCATAATTTCATAAACCTATTGCACATTGAATAATAAACACTATTTTATTTTTTATTTTTTTTAAATTGAAGGGGTTTATGTTACATACCATATATACACAAGTTACAACATCAGGGTAAACATTCAATACCAAACATTTAAATTTAAATATTAAAAATTAATACTAACAATAAAAATAAAAAGGACTTACCATTGGAACGAAACACAGACTCAAGATCTGGCAATTTAACTCTCTTACATCCAAGTTCTGATTTTTCTTCAAACTCAGCATTACTCCGCTTATTCCCCACCGTTGACTATCAAAACAACCAAGAAAACATTAAACTGAAAATGCCAGAAGCAACCCAAAACCATTAAACGAGTATAAAGATTTCAACCTTTGATTCAGATCTGGTGATTGAAAATGACCCATCCGAAACAATTCCATCCTCCATTATTGTTCTACAAAAAAATATCAAATCAAAAACTGAAATTTTCAACAAAAAAAAAAAAAAAACCCTCAAAAGTTTGGATTCAAGATTAGAAAGATTGTGGGTTAAGGATCTATGTATGTGTGAGTGTGGTGGTGATTGTGTGTGGAGTTTGGAGTGTTTGAGGTATGAGGTTAGGGTTAGGGTTAGGGTTTTTGTTGTTGGGGGGTTTTATTGGAAGGTTATTGATATGAGTTAAATTTTGATTTGAATTTTGGCAGAGATAGCGCGCTTTCAAGGCGTGTTTATGGGGGGTTCTTTCGCAAACACAAAAATGGTACAACGTTTTCTGGACAATTATTTTTATTATGTCTATTTTTGTCGTTGTTTTTGATTTTTTGTGTTTTTTCAAATTCAAAATGTGAAGCAAAAGGAGGGAATGTGGGCCCAACCGAATTGCCGCGCTGGGTAGGTAGGGTGGCGGTGGCTCACTCCAAATCCACGCTCTCTCAGACCATACAAAGGCGCGTTTGGTAAAGTTCTGAAAAAATAATCAAAACTTATACGTTAACAGTTTATAGTTTATAATTGTGAATATAAGTTGATTTTTTACTTATAAATTAAATTTTTCCTCCCTCACTCAAAGAATAAATTGATTTTTAACTTACAAAAAGTTATAAACTGTATTGTTAAGCTGAACCAAACCTATCAAAATAAAAGCTGAAATAAGTTTGAAATAAACCCTACCAAACAGGGCCAAATTGTTCCAATAACGATGGAGACTCTTACAAAACACAACTTCTATAACTCTCAAAATGATTTGAACTATTCATGTTACTGTCAGACACAATTTTCAAAAAAAAAAATTAAATACATCAATGATCAATACATTAGTGGGGGATGAGATCCTCTTTTATTGGTATCCCAAACATTTTCCCAAATTGTTCAGCGTGTGTTTAGGAAACAAGTTTCAGGCTAAATTAGCCACTATAGGACAAAGCAGGCTTAATTAGCCAAGTGAAGACAAAAACTTGAGTTCTGCTTGGCAACAATCAATGCCCAGCTAAATTTACGAAACTACCCCACATGATTTGCAGGGGCATCGCCTCAACACATGAAAAGTAAAAAAAAAAAAAAAAAAAATGGGAAATCGATATTAAAAATGAGTTAAAGTTTTTTTTTTAATAAGTAAAATGAGTTTTTTACCCAATAAATAATTGTGAGAAAAATCATAAAAAATCCATTTTATAAAAATATTTTTAAATATTTTAATTTTTTTGTTATGTATTTGGTTATGATTTGAGTGTAGAGTTGTGAAAGTAGTATGGAGTTTTGAGTTATGTGTTTGGTTATGAGTTTTAAAAATAATTTATAAAAATAAATTCAAACTCTATTTATAAAAAAAAAAATTCAATATTTTAATTTTTTTGTTATGTATTTGGTTATGATTTGAGTGTAAAGTTGTGAAAATAGTATGCCTCTGTTTGGGAAGTGGGTTGGCTTTTTGGCTTTGGAAAATGAGTTGGACCCCAGTGGGGGTGCTGGGGGTCATCTCTGATTGGCTCAAAAACTGTTTTTTTTTTTTTTTTTTTTTTTTTTTTGTTTTGGCCAGTGACAGTGTGCCAACTGTCATGGGGGTGTCTGGGGTCGCCCCGCCCACTGGGGTCACCCAGCATTTGCTCTTTTGGCTTTTTGGTTTTTTGACTTTTTTGAGTTTTTTTGTGAGAGAAGAATGTAATGATTATGGGTTGGATGTGATGTTTTGTTTGTTATGGCTAAAATAGCCTATTTTGTTTTTTGTGGCTAAAATAGCCAAAAAAGCCTGCAAACCCACTTGCCAAACACAGGCTATGAAGTTTCGAGTTATGTGTTGGTTATGAGTTTTAAAAATAATTTATTAATTGAGTTTTATTTTATGTGTTTGGTTACGATTTGAGCGTAGAGTTGTTTTTAAATTTAAAATATTAACATTTTAAATTATTTCAATTATTTGAATATTTAAATTATTTAAATTTTTTTGTTAAAATAACTTTTTGAATATTTAAATTATTTACATTTTTTTGTTAAAATAATTTTTTGAATATTTAAATTTTTACGATTTAAATTTTTTGAATATTTATTTTAAATTTTTACTTATTAAATTTTTTAGATTATTTACATTATTTAAATATTTAAAATAAAATTAAAATTAAAAACATATTATGATTTGAGTGTAGAGTTATGAAAGTAAAAATATTTTTAAAAAAAACATAAAAACATAAATTACCATTCGCGACGTAATTTAGAAATAAATAAAACACATGAAAACTTATTTTGAAAAATTAAAAAAAGTTATTGTATACAAATAAAAATAAAAAAGAAAAATAACATAAATTAAAGAACAAGAACTAATTAATGTATAAAAAAAGAAAAATGACAAAAAAAATAAATTTAAAAAAAAAACATAAAAACATAAATTACCATTCGCGACGTAATTTAGAAATAAATAAAACACATGAAAACTTATTTTGAAAAATAAAAAAAAGTTATTGTATACAAATAAAAATAAAAAAGAAAAATAACATAAATTAAAGAACAAGAACTAATTAATATATAAAAAAAGAAAAATGACAAAAAAAATAAATTAAAAAAAAACAACATAAAAGAAGAAATCCAAGCACAAAAGAGGGAAAAAAAAAAAAATCAAATCAATTGTGGTCCACACCATTAACTGACGTGGAGGAGCAGAACCAATTCCTTCACATGTATTAATTATGTGAAGGGCAGTTTGGTAATTTATCATGAAGACACATCACCAAAAAGCTAAAAAGTCAAAAAATCCTTCTCAAACCAGGCTTTTAAGTCCCAAGCTAAAATAGTCAAAAAAATTAAAAAGCTAAAAAATCAACCCATTTTCCAAACAGATGCTTAGTCTTCTCCCAAAATTTTAATGCTGACATTTACTATAAATCTTATTAATAATTTATTCTAATTTCAATATATGAAGTGAAAGTTTTTTTTGTACTTTTTGCCTTAATTTTGATGTTATTTGTACTTTTTGCCTTAATTTTTTCTTTTTCAAAATAGCCCTCATAAATTATATAATTTTCATACATATTATTTTTTGTTAGTCAACTCATTCTCAAGTTTTCAAAACTCACCCACCCACGTTTCTATTTTTTTTTCCCTCACAGTCCTACAAATGGTTTGTTTCAATATTATGAGCAGCTCCAAATTTTGAAATTCAAATATTTGCAAGTTTAGGTAGTTTTTACTGTTCCACAAACTATTCACTGGTTTGTTTGATTGTTTCACCTTATTCTTCTAGGAATTGCTATTTCGTCCCTTTTTTTAAAAAAAAAAAAAAATAGATTTATTTGATTCTTTTTGTTAATATATCATATACATTAGATATTAGATAGTACATTGTAGCTGTAAATTATCTGTAAAGGCAAACACCCACTACCACACTTTCAGCTTTAGTATTAGTGCTTACATTGTTTAATGTAACCTTTATGCTTTCGGTGCTCCATTGTATCCCTCTTCTCTCTATAAAGAGAGCTCATTCTCTTTGTAAATGAACACACAACATTACAGATTAATACAGAGCTATTCAGTTGCTCTCTCTCTCTCTCTCTCTCAAACTATTGTTTCATATACAGTTGCTCTCTCTCTCTCTCACTCTCTCAAAATATTGTTTCATGGTATCAAAGCCCAGTGTTACATTTCTAGCAATTTTCGATTTTGGTGTTTAGTCCCGTACACAGTGGCACTACATCAAACCGCTCGGAATTTCCTCACGATTCCAACGGCACCAAGCCTGTCCTCAAAAATCCTTCCACGCGCCCACACGCACCGCCTTTGTTCTCGGTGCGTCACCACTTCCGCCACCACTCTCACACGCACCTGCACGCGCCATCTGTTGCTGCTCACATCCGCCACGCGCCCACACGTCCGCGGTTAACGTCAGCCCTGCCGCTCCAGTGCGCCGCGCCTGCTACTGTACGCCTTTCGTGCGCCGCTTCACTAGTGTGCACCCGCGTGCGCCAAAACAGCTACCGTGTGCCTCGCCGCGCCTACGCCAGTCCGCTACCGTGCGCCGCCGCCTTCCTGCTAATGTGCTCCTCCCTGCACTCTGCTAACGTGCGCCGCTGACATCATTGCTGACATCATCTCTGCACAGCATACATTTCCTTGCTATTTTCAACCTTCCGGACTCACTGGTACACTCTGTTTTACCTAATTTTGCTCCTACAGGTCTATTCATATTTGCTTTAACCCTATTCAACCTTTATTATAGATCGTCATGATGTCTCCCATCCCATTTCCATTATTTTGAATGGTTTCAACTATGTTCTGTGGGCCCAAGCCATGTCTTCCTTCCTCAAAGGAAAGAAGCTCTGGCGAATTATCACCGGGGATGTGACCCAACCAGTGAAAGACACTGCTGAAACCACTGTTTCCACTGCTACTACTACATATGAAGACCGACTTGAGGAATAGGACAGTAAAAATTACCAAATCATTACCTGTTTCGAACTACCTTTGTTACCTCTATCAGTCTTCAGTTTGGTCGCTTTCAGCTTGACTCTGTCACTACTCCTGTAAAAGACATCTGGGATTTTTTGAAAGAACGATACCAGACTACTGGTCTTGCTCATCAATATCAACATCAGAGCCAACTTCATCGGATGCGCCAAGACTCTAGTCAGTCCATCAATGACTTCCTTTCTCAAATGTACTCCGTTTGGGACCAGCTTGCTCTTTCCGAACCGACTTGGCCTCACCGCGAAGATGCTGTCTTATTTACTGCCCATCGTAATCAGCAAAGGTTGGTGCACTTTCTCATGGCTCTCACTTCATCTGTTGAGCCCGTATGTGCCTCTCTTCTTCATCGCCATCCTTTGCCCAATCTGGAACAAGCAATTTCTGAGCTGCTATCAGAGGAAACTCGTCTTGCTACTCTCCAAACTCATCATATGGACTCTGTTCTTGCCACTCCTCCGTACCGGCCATCATTTACCCAGCGGACCACTATCTGCCTCTATTGTTAGAATCGAGGCCTTCATTCAATACATTTCCTGGTCAATTGCCCCGTTAGAACCTGCCGATACTGCAACAAACTTAGTCTTGGTCATCTGCACCAGGATTGTTTTCACAATCCCTCCCGCTCATCCTTCAACAGTCACTCTTCTCGCGGTGGTTCTTCTCGGGGGAGCTTTCATCGTTCCGGGAATCAATCTCATTCCGGGAATCAGTCTCATCACACTGCTGCTATTGCCTCTGAGGGTTTTTCTGAGTCTCCTGCTCCGTCTACCCCTCTCTTTTCTCCAACAGATGTCGAGGCCATGTTCAAACACCTTCTCTCCCCTTCTG